ATCTTGACACCCTCAACACCATTGTGGAATGAGGAGTGATTAAAATATCGACTTGGATGAAAGGCCATAAACTTACACTTAACACTGACAAAACCTACTATGTTTGTTTGGTAGCAGAGCAGGGAGATGCACAAATTAACATTAAGATTGACAAACACTCTAATTACCAGAAATAATGGGGTGCAAATCCTGGCTTTACCTTGACAACAACCTGAATTTCAAGCACCCATATCCAGCATATGTGAACCAACAAAAGTATCCAAAACGGGTTTGGAATCCTCTCCAAGATACGGATACTACGTGCCGCAATATGCCTTGCTCACACTGAATACCCACTCACTTATTTATCCCTACCTCACCTTTGCTATGGTGCTGGGGATCAATGCAGCAACTCACCTAAAGCCAATAATAACCCACAAAAAGCATGCAAGTATGAATAATCACTAAATCTCATCCCTGGCAACACACCCCCCATCTTCATAGCCTAAACTTACTCCAGTTCAGTACATCCACACTTTCTACTGTGCAAATCTACTCTACAGGGCCGTAACTCTATATAACCTTGACCTAAAAACGCTTTCTGGAATAATTGTGACAGAACCCACAGGCATAACACCAGACACAAAACATCTCTATGACATTCCCCGTGTCCGACCTAAACCGTTACAAAATTCAATGTATGTCAAAGGTATTAACTTATAAATCTGATTACTACCTGAGAACTCTAGAACTGCAGACACTTATCACCTCAAACTACCATTAGAAAACATATTATCTCCCTGATACACCCCGTCAAACTAACTACACGGATTACCACCTGGTGTGTTCACACTTACACTCACTCACTCATTTGACCAGGAACAGAAATATTAATCTAAATCTTAAAATAATATAATTCCTGAGATACTCCAATACTGAAAATATGTACTGTGCCAAAAACCAAAAGCATTCACATTGCTAAACTCACAAACTAGTATTTAGTAGCCATTAATACCAACTTACCTCATTTTGTAATAATTTTACAATTATGAATAATACTAAGTCGACCCGAAATGCCTAGCCTGCTAGCGTTCTTGTGGTTCACTCTGTAATCACATAATTTTAGATACATGTAAAACCACACATTAACCAAATTTCTGTAAATCAGCATTGTTAATCCTTTAGGAATAAACATTTGAATGGAATCATTTTATGTTTTTCCCATAAGCTCAGAGACCCTTGGTCATGAGGGATAGAGTGCATCGAATTTCCTTAGATAGAGAGCTGGGGAAATGACTAATCAGGTAACTAGGGATCCCAGGGCAGCTAGTTTTCTGTTTTTCCATGCGCCTTCAGTGCGGCTGTTCAAAAGGGGTTATGCCTCGTACATTTTGGGCACACGCCCAGCTAGAGGAGCTGGAATGAAGCATTTTCGCCTTTAATAGGTGATACACACGTAACAAATGTACATTTATGCCACCTTTATATTAACAATGTTATTCTTAAATCTTCTTGCCAATATTTATTTAATAAAATATTCTATTGGTAAAAAAATAGTTTAAAGATGGGGTGGTAGGGGGTAGTGGAATATTCAAAACGCTTCAGGTGTAATCCAAATTTCCTCCTTGGAGCCTTTTTATCCACTTCTTCCGAGTATGGGTCCCACAATTTGCACCAGAGGTGGACCCATCCTATATAAAAAAAAATATATATATAAATATTTATTATATAAATTTATTTTTTTAATATATATATATAATATATTATATATATATTATATTTAAATATATATATAAATATATATTTAAATTTTATAAAATATATATATAGTATACTGTCGTGCCGAATATGTAAAACTGGGTCATCGATACAATGCTTAAAACCTTCTGGGTAGGGTAGGTGCCTGAAGCAGAGCCTTTAGCTCATAAGACTGTCATTGCCATTTGCCCCCTTGGGGCGGGGTGGCATGACCAGAGAGGCCTAGCTTGTGGCTAGGCCTGGGGTCAGTTGGTACCCAAAGATGTGGAGGTACTTGTGCCTCCTCCCATGGGGAGACTTAAAGGTCTCAGACACTCCCTAAAGAGGAGCCAATGGCCGGGCCACCACTTGGAAAAGGGCGGGCCGGGGAGAATCCGCCGAATCTTTAAATAAAAAATAATAATAATAAAAACTGGTCTATTAGCAATAAATCATTTTAATTTAAGTCCTTTCTGAAATTTTCTCTTATACGTTTAAAGATATATTTTTTCATTAATGATATGTAAAAAATTTGAATTTTTTGCAACAAATGAATCTAGAAAACATTACCTAACTTATTTATAAACAAGCGCATTTATTTTTACCTAACCCAACTAAATATATTTTAGATTTGTTTACTATAAGTTAATTACTAAACAATCGACAGTGAAATTTATTTTTTTCGTTAGAGTTCAGAATGATTTTGGCGAAATTATTGCTTACAACAAATTTTCGCTTGTTCTATATGACAAGATGGAGCGTTGCTATTTAAGCCAGATCGCAAGTCTGGCCTTTTCGGCACGACATTTTATTTATATAATATATTTTAAAATTTTTTATATTTATATATATATATATATTTATATAGATTTATATATCTATATTATATTATAGGGAGTGAGTATTAATACGAGTACGTCGCCAGAAGCCACACATTAACCAGATAAACTGACTGCAGCATCATGGGCTGCCGGTAAACCCGAGATCATAGCATTCCACGGTTACCTCGGTAAGGAATCGTTATGACTAAGACACAGTGTACGTCAGGCCATACTGGAGTACGCCAGCATCAGTTTGGAACCACACATGGGTCAAACACGTTAAGAAATTAGAGAAAGTGCAAAGGGTTTTGCAACAAGGCAGGTTCAGAGCTAAGGACCTAAGGGAGAATGTCCTACGAGAGAGGCTTAAGGAAAATCGGCCTGACGCACTGGTGGAGGGAGGGTCAGGGGAGACATGATATACGACATACAAATCTGTGTGGAATGACAAGTGTGGACAGATATGGACACAGAAAAAAGGGGTCACAATGGAAGCTGAAGGATCGATGAGTCAAATGGGCTGGTTAGGAAAGTATTTATTCAGCCACAGAGTTGTTAGGAAGTGGTATTAGTCTGGAAAGCGATGTAGTGCGAGGCAGGAACCATACATTGTTTTAAGACGTGGTATGATAAACTCATGGAGCCAGGGAGAGGGAGGACTCAGTAGCGGTCATTGAAGTGGCGGGGCCAGGAGTGAGTTTACGACTCCTGCAACCTTAATTAGGTTGGTACATTACAAATAAATTTACAATACCTCGTGTTGGGGGGAGGAACCCGGACTGTGAAACGGGAAAAAAATGAAAACTGGGCGTATCATTGTAGCTTTTGTATTTCCTGCTGCCACCTTTCTTCCAAAACGTTTCACGAAGTACGTACTAATTTTTTCCGTTTATTTGATACCTTTCAATGGGTGATGTAAAAGTTAATTTAGAGGACAACTCACTTTGACAGATTTCATTACATAATGTATAAAACCCATTCTGTGATGCGTTTTAGATAAACATAATAACTCTTGATCTAACCATGTAAAAGCCACATGGATTAGAATAGAACAGTTATATGTTAATTGTAAGCAACTGTTCATGAGAATTGGTATACACGTTATACAAATATACATAAATATATATTATTTAGATGGCAAGAAGTATGTTGATATAACTAAGAAGTTATTATAGTGTGGAGATGTAAGAAGTAGGTTGATATAACTAATTAGTTATTACTGTGTGGAGATGGTAAGAAGTATGTTGATATAACTAATTAGTTATTACTGTATGGAGATGGTAAGAAGCATGCTGATATAACTAAGAAGCTATTATAGTGTGGATGCATGAGTCTGGAATGAGACATCAGAACAACAGCAACTGATGCTGAGGCTTGTGGCTTTGTTGTCCTTGAGAAAGTATAGCCAGTAAGTTATATTTGCAATATATATTCTCCACGTACGTGTTACGCAAATTATTTAATATCCTTTGAAGTTGTTATACTGTTTCAGCAAAATTAATAATGGATATCAAGCATTGCAGTTCCCCAATGCGCTAAACTAAGTTAAAAAGTAATTGGTAAGTGGCATCTACGAGAGCTTTATGAGAGGAAGTAAGTTGTGTTCATAAAAAAACGAAAAGATGGCAGTCACTGAGTATATACACGAGGGTGGTGTATGTCTGTGTATATATATGAGAGGTCTGTATCTTTCAGTCCATTTACAGAGGGTGTATTTGTAAATACAACTAAAAGTTGGTGTATCTCAGATTACATCGTGAGGTGTGAATAAGATAAACGAGTGTGCCATCTGTAAATACACTTGAAAGGGTATGCTACACTTATGATTTATGTTTAGAACCGCACCCTGGACCTGGTCATGGGTCATTGGTCAATGCCCCTTAGTTGTGGCAGGTCTAAGAATAGAATTACCTTAGTTTGTTCAAATTGTTTACAAACCTTATTTTTTTTATTGTTAACACTTATACTATAACTACGTGTTGGTTATCTCGATTCCGTCTTGGGTTCATTTTTTTTTACTGCAATTTTGCTTTGTCAGTGATGATCGTCCCAACATATTCATCATCTACCATTAGTATATTTATTATCGTTAAATTTAATGTGACTTACTGCTAGTACCAAAAATAAAATATTATAAATAATGAGTTTAATAATGATTGCCTAATCAATAACCTTTTTCCGCGAATATTTTTTATTGCTTGAACTGTGTCAGTAGAGTGACTGCATCAAATTCCCAATATCTGTTCTACGTTCGCCATTGCTACTAATAATAAGGGGAAGTATATGGAGAAAGACTAGAGAATGGAATAGGTCTATACATGAGCACTTATGTAGTAGGATATAGGCCTACAAGTGGGCCACTGAGGAGCTCGGCAACCCACCCCCGACTCCCCTTCTGCCGCCCCCCGCACACTGGGCAGTTTGACAGGCAGTACACGCTATGAACTTGGTGAAAGCAAACCGCACTCGTTATCTCTATTACCTGTGTCTTGTTTCCTAATATTTGTGATACAACGCGTGTGCTCTTTTAAGGTCTGGCGTAAGAAACTTGCATGAAAAGCACTGGAATATTTTTATTATCCATTTAGCAGGTGTTCTTTCTTCATTATAATTTTAGATTATCATATTATTATCACCGTTCTATGACTGTAGTGTTTGTGTATGATGCAACGACGTACGAGTCTTTCTATGATAAGATATATGGTTTTGAACAATACAATTTCTTCATGTATATAAGCTTTTATTCTTATTTTATAGCAGAATACTATATACATAAATAAATTTCAAGGAAAATGTGGCAATTCCTGCATTAAAAGAATTCGCACGAACAACTATTGTACCAAGAAAGATGCGAAGAAATGCGATACCTCTCATGTGATACACCACAGATGTCGGCTTGATATGGGAATAAGTCACGTTGACTTAGGTTATCTCGACTTACATATGTGCTGTTATGTATGATAATTTATGTAACTGTATATGTGTACCTGTACCTGAATAAACTTGATTATCACTACCATATCGTTGCGTTGGTTGAGTTAATTGGTCCTAGTCTCCCTTTTCCATATTTCTCTTGCCTGGTTTATTATTATTATTTTATTATTATATTATTATTATTATTATTATTATTATTATAAAAAATAAGCGCTAAACCCACCAGGGTCATACAGCGCTGCTTGCCTGGTATAACTTAAGAACATTTTTGTTTTGTTTTTCCAATGTTGTTTCTTTCAAGTTGGGCAGTTTTGTGGGGAATGCAAGATGGACATTATTATCAACACTGGATACAGGGAATGAAATAGGAATCTGCCCGGGTAACCATTACATAATAAAATTAATACAGCGTTGTATGACCCTTTCGGGTTCAGCACTTCACTTGATTACTTCATGTCATTTCATTTCAATAAAATGAATAGAAAAGTGTTGCGCAATAGTTGTAACTGATAAAACAGTTCTCACGTCACTGACATTTTCTAAATAAACTAAAACTATCGTATATAATTAAAACATTTGAATAATAATATGCTGAGTTAGAGTTTAAATATAATACAGATTTAGTCACTTAAAAACTTAAAATAAACTGTAAAAATTTTTAAAAAAAACATTAAAATAGTTTATGCGACTTAGATACAATACCATGGCGTTCAGCTGTTTTCGTCAGTTTTCATATTTTAGCACTTTCAGGTTAACCAGTTTATACTAAGGAACTCAACTATTTTCGTCAGTTTTCATATTATAGTTTCAGGTCTACTTTTATTTTTTAAAGTTATTTAACTGTAATTATTACTCCAGAATATGACGTGGACAATATAGTGCTAACTGCATTTAATACAATTATAAAACAAATAGACTAAAAACAGCTACCAAAACTACTTTATGTTGGCCAGACTTTGTCTATCAACTGCGATCTTCTCTGGGGTTTTGTTAATTGCGGGGGAATACCCAAGTAGGTAGAATCGCCATGTACCGTAGCAATATCTATTTCTACATGTACAAGGTATACAGGTGTAGCTAACATCAGTGACATACTACTGTATAGTAAAGCTGCTTGTTATTTATGCAGGCATTTAGGGTAAATTAGTGTAAATTATTGGTTGCTGGTTGCGACCCACTTCTGTCGACCCCTAAAACCCAGATAGGTACCCATTTTAATGATGGGTGAACAGGGTCATCAGGTGTCTTATGGAAACACGTCCTAATGTGCTCCAGCCGTACCGGGGATCGACCCCCGAACCTCAGTGCGTGAGCTGAGTGCCCTAGCGATCCAGCTAGCTAGATGAATAGGTGCATGTAGAAAGTGTCTGCTTGTCTATGAAGTGAGATATGATGAAAACCATGCTTACTGGATACTTTGAGAAGAATAAGTTTCCTAGAAGCATTGACGGAGGAGTTCTCGGAAAGCATTTGAAGGTTGCTATGCAGAGCCATGGCACTGCATGGCCCTGGGGATGGTTGTATGCTGACAAGTTTTTATGTACTTCTCTCGTGTTACAGAGAAGGCTCCCTGTGATTGGCCAACACAGGCTACCTGGAGCTTTCAGTGTTTTGTCGACACCCAAGTAAGCTTACTATTCCATGCCATCTCTTCAACCCTTGATGCTGGTGAAGGGATTTTAATCCGAGGAATTGGAGCTGCCCCCTTCCTCACGTCAAACCAGATTATTCCATGCTCTACCCTAGGTGTTGTTGGAAGGTTCCAGAATACATGAGAGGCGATGTTATATGTGAAAGTTATAATTTACCATCTATGACAATGTTTCTATGACCAGAGAAGATTGGTGGGGCGAGAATGTGTCAGGTTGTGTGGCGGGTTTCCCAGCTTAGACTGGGGGCAGTAACCTAGAAATAGACTTTTTTTTTTTGTACAGTACTTTTCATGCTCATGTTTGTGTTGATCGAGCTCCATCTATTTAACTTAGCAATCGTAACTACAAAATAGACCAGTGTAATGTCTCCTGAGTTCCATGAGTTGTGGCCATATGCATATGTGTTAGAGGTGCCCCCACCGATTTAATTCTTATTTTTCATTCTTGCAACAGCAATTCTATCCAAAGCTCGTCAAAAAAATAGTAATACTTGTGCAAGAATTTTTTTAGGGGCTATTAGCCCTAATATTAAGGTCCTACACAGATGACAGCAAGGAAATGAGTGAGCTACTCAAGTGCCCAATATTGACTCAGTTTTTAACAAGCCGCTAACCAGACTGGAGAGTCGAAGATCTAAATGATTTTTTTTTATGGAGAGAGCCACAGAAAATAGGTAAACACAAGCCTATTGACGTTACCTGACGCCTAATGACTTCGAACAGGTGATAAAATGACATGCCCTGCACTCTGCCCAGGGCCAAGACCTCATGGAACTTCCGTGTTCATCATGAACTGAAAGAAGCCCCTATCACGTGCTTTTACATCTATGGAGAGGGGCATGGACACTGAGGTCGTCATACGGTTATAAAACCAACAGACATAGCCCCACTCCACTAAGGGGGCAGTTTTAAGCAATAGCAGAGAATTACAGACCTCGATAGCCGCTAGCTTCCCATATCATTAAAAAATCTTTGATAGGGTCCTAAGAAGCAAGATCGCCACCCTCTGGATTACCTGGTGTTACCTGGAGAGAGTTCCGGGGGAGGTCATCGCCCCGCGTGTCCGGTCTGGACCAGGCACTCCTGGTAGATCATAGCCTGATCAACCAGGCTGTCTGTTACTGCTGGCTTCACGCAATCCAATGTACGAGCCACAGCCGGGCTGGTCAGGTACCGACTTAGGTGCTTGTCCATTGCCACGCTTGCAAGCAAGCCAGGGGTCTATTGGTAATCCCTCTAATGTATGCTGGGAGGCAGTTGAAACAGTCTCGGGTCCCCTGACACTTGTATTGCTCTTAACCGTGCTAGTGACACCCCGGCCTTTTCATTTGGGCGGATGTTGCATCGCTCTGCCGTGAGTCTATTTCCTGTAACTTAACTATATTACAGGTCATCTTAAAACTTACTATATTATTGATATCTACCCGTCTATTAAGCATTATTAATGGTATACCTGTACTTAACTTATTATTGGTTCATCGTAATACTTTAAGTACAGGTATCACGTATATTAAGTATATTATTGGAATCTCTAACTTAACTATAAATTAACTGGCCGTACCGTCTACAATTTTAAGTAAGACTCTCGTCAGAGTAAATATATTAATAATTCGCGGCTTTTTCCTAGTACCTTAAGCGTATTTTTCTAGAAGAAAGAAAAAGGTTTTCTCGATGACAAAAGTGGAAGGACTTAAAGCAGACTTCGTCACTTCACTAGGCTGCCACTATGGACAAGAACTGTCTGGTGGCAGGAAGAGACCTCGCTCCCAACTCCTCCTCTCACTGCACCTTCCAAAAAGCCAAAATTGGATGGAATGGTCCTCCAGGAGAGAAGAGTACGAACCCATGGAAGCATTGCTGTCTCCCAGACAGTGAAGCAAAAAACAGGGGGAGACACCGTCTAGCGATACTGTTATCCCGCGTGGTTATCCTGGAGTAGCCTTGACATGAAGACCAAAAACTTGGTAGCAGGTGCATATGGAGAGGCGTGGGCAGCTCTCTTAAAGCAAGATGATGGCTCCGCTACCAGGTAGTCGTCAAGGAAGCTCTTCGACGACGTTTTAATGAAAGAAGGCTGTTTAAGGAATCCAGAGCTATTCTCAAGGAGTTGATGGCGCCGGTGGAGCTCCCAAACTTTATGGCATGAATTTACGATCCTTTAGCTATAGTCATGTTCACCGCTGCCCCGGAGTAACTTTCGCAAATTTATAGAGAAAAAATTCGCTCTGAAGATTGCTTTAAAGGATATAATTCTGAATACATTCCCTCCTCCATACTCCTCCCCCAATCTGATATTCAATCTTTCACCCTAATCTTTTTTTTACCCCTCTAACCTTTCTTTCCCTGTTTTCCCTTTAAATTTTTTCTTTTTTTGCACCCCTACTAAATTCATCCCCCCAATCTCTGCAACTTCCTTCAAAATCCCCCCAAGACACAGTGTCACAGCAAGAGCAGCGTGACAATCCCACTTTGTGTGTGATTCTTTTCTTTTAATCCACGCCTTTTGTAAAGACCCTGCATTTACTTCCTTACAACCCCATTTTAAAAATATATTAAAAAAACCACGGTGACATCACAACCCTTGTCTAAGGCCTATTCTATGGGAAAAATTTTCCCTTTTTTACATACTCTAACTTGAGCCTCATTTATCCCGTAAAAACCTTCACTGCTTTCGAAAACCTACCTCCTACCCAACATTGAAAACCTCCCACATTGCTCCCTTCCACCCTGTCATACCCCTTTTTCCAAATCCTAAAGCCACAAAGACCTCTTAACCTTATTTTAAATACTGTTCATTATATGTTTCATGAAAACACCTGGTCCACACCCCCCCTACCTTTCCAAACCCTCCTTTTTTCCTGCTATCCTATTCTCCGTCTTACTTTTAAATTTTTTCAATAATAACTCTACCATCACTTTACCAGGTATACCACCCAGACTTACCCCC